ACAGTGTCCAACAAAATGGGTTTTCTACCTGTTTGGTGACTAAGCTGTACTACAGTATACATACTATACAGTATACTACAGTATAAAGCTAACTTTAGAATATTAAGTATACACGCTAAATTTAGAATATTAAGTCAAGTTTCTGAATGATCCAATATGAAGTAGGACTGAAGAATGAGTAGCAGCTTCCCCAACTAGTATTACACTAATATTAACATTTAAAGATATCTCAGTCACTTCAGCCTTTGCTAAATTATTTACCCCATCCAAAAAGACACTGGATTTTGGGAGGTGGGGGAGGAAGGAGGAAATAAATTTAAGAGCCAAGTCTGATCCTGAACTCTCAAGAGTTCTGGTCCTATCACATACTGGGCATATGACCTTCAGCAAGTCCTTTTTTGCACTGCCTCATCAGTGAAACAGGCCAGAAATTCCTCCCTACGCTTTCTCACCATGATGCTGTGAGAGCTGATGGACATTTGCACAGCTTTTTGAATGTAACAAAGACTTAGAAAGAGACAAAACGTCACCTGAAGGTTGACTGTGAGTATTAAATTTTATGGAAAACAAACAGGCGAATGACAAACACGAAATTCAGTAATAGCATCAGTAAGGCCATATTGACCGCTCGTTTGGAACAGTTTGTGTAATACATATATAAATGTGCTTGATGCAGCATATGTGCGTGGGTCAGAGGCAGCAAGGAAGCGTGTCCAGGGTAGCTGTTTTTTTCTCACAGTGTGTCTATACCCTGGCTGGGCTCACGGTCAAGACCACTGTTTTCTTCCCCCGGGGCAGATGAAGCTAAAGTGCAGTATTTTTCAGCTTAGATCTCTCTTTACAGAAGACATATGCAGTTTGCCATAATGCCCTTACAACTAGATGACTCAGCAAACACTGTCCACAAGAATGTTTTCCTTTTTCAGCTGAAGAAATAATACACTGCGTTATCCCCTGCAGACAGTGGAAGTGTTGAAATGAAGCTTGAATAGCATTATTACTATTTTATCTCCTATGAGCTGCAGCTATGTGGTTACGTGTGATGGGGAGAGGAGCTGAGACCCTCTTCACCTCACTGCGTTAAGGCTGAGGGCAGCCTTAGCATTGGGCTGGTGTGCAGCCATGTTCCTTGTCACAGAGGATATTCCCCTGGCCAGACCTCCAGGCGATTTTTGTGATTTCAGATATATCACTGGATGAATAGGGACTGCCAAAATCCTTTTTGTTTCAAATTGCACGGCTGATTTTCAAAGCCGATGTTTTCAAAAACATCGCCCTTCATTTGGGGGCATATGGGGCAAAATGTAACAAGGCCCATTTTTCACAGGGAAAAGACTAACTATGGGAACAGGAGATTATTTACAGATTTAGAGTTCCACATATGCTGATGATATATCCTCCCAAATCATCAGCTTTTTTTTTTTTTTAATAAAACTTTGGTCTTAGTTCCCAAATCACTAGCAATAAGAACTAGAAGGTGAAGTGACTACATCATACAGAACTCATCTATTTGCAATTTAATTTGCAGAGTGTTTTGCAACTACTAGACCATAGCACTATAGGAACATTTTAGGTAGCTTTAAAAGACAACTATTTTAAATATTTAGATAAAATCACTTGCCAAAATTTGAAAAATAAAGGAATCTCTATCATTCCTCATCAGGGCTATTTTTACGATGCACTTACTGAGGAGAACAAAAATCAGTCTGTGGTAGGCAAGACTCTACTCCTATCTTTTGTGCTAGTAAATAATATAATATTGACTTCCTTCCTTTGTTAATATTTTTTGCACCATATAAATACATACACAAACAAGATCTATTAGCATATAAAAATATTATCTCTTTACATTCCTATGAATTCTATGATAAAAAAAAATCATTTCTCTTGTTTATATCAAAGTCATAAAAAAAATGTTAAATACAATCTAAAATATTACTTACAGGATTTCACAGAGAAAATGGAAAACTTCTACAAACATTTTTTTCAAAAATTGGAAGTATTTTCAAGAAACTTATTTCCTTAAGATTTTTTCCACAAAAAGCAATTTGATTTCCCGATCAGCTGTCACGGTGATTGTAATGTGAAAGCAGGACTCTTTCCAGACACAAAGAACGTGCAGACACAAATAGCACGTTTGGATCAGTCAGTGGACCAAACTCAGCCATGGTATAAGCAAGAGCTTGTTAATTTTACACGAAAAGGCAGCAGAAGATAGCAGCGAAACAAAAAGACAAATAAATGAGAACACAGAAGGACATGGCAGGTTGCCAATATGAGACGGAGTGTAAAATCAAGTTTACATAAGGTTTAAAAAAAAGAGTGAAGATCAAAGAGGAAAATTCCCAAAGCTGTCTTCAAGGTGAGATGCTGAAAAGTGCTTCTTGTTTTAATAATATTACTAATAATTCTACAGTAGAAAGTATGAAAACAGCCATTGAGAAGATCGGGGCGGGGGGGGAGGGGAAAGACTTGACATATTTCCTGATTTAGCAGCCAGTAAATCAAACAATAAAGAAAGCAATTAGCACAATTTCTCTCTTCTTTCCAGCCTTGTCTATACAATGATTACAAAGACCCTCATCCAAAAACACCTCTAGCATATGTGGGCATAACTATCGTTATCTCCAGTTCAAATTATACTGACTTACATCACGAATTACTTTGATCTTGAAATTGCTGTCGGTCATATATGCAAGCATCTCACATAAACAGTTAAATCAAAAGGCTATTAACAATTCAGAGAACAGTTAGCTCCCATTTATATCTGTTCAAATCTGCAGATTTTAGGTTAACATTTTACTACAAGCTCTAATTTACTCTGCAAATGCATCATTCATTGCCTCTCATGGATGTTGCACAGCCTTACCCAATACAGATTTGAATTTTAGCTTTTTGATTCTGCAACCATTGCCTATGATCACTATGTTAGAATAAATTTTTTGGCTCACATTTCTCCAGCAGTGATACAAACTCCACAATACAAATTTAGTTACAGTTTTCTGCTGTTGCATAGTCCACATCAATGCGTTTTTCCAAAACCGCATTGCATGGACAATGCTAAAAGAGTGGAAAGTACTTGAAATGTTATCTTTTAAGTGAGCACGTCATCTGTTTAATATTTTTTTTGTTACACAAAAACAAAGACTTACCCCATCAAACACTGCTGGTGACTTTTAAAAATGATAAAATTATAATGATACGAGGTAGCATTTTGAAAGTGATGCATAGAGGCACACCCAAACTCTTAGAGGCCTGCAGTAGTATGAAAAAGACTAGAGGTGCCAATCTACTGATATAATAATAATAAAAATTAACAAACAACTATAAACAAAGATTTAAATCAATTAAAATAAGTTTAATAAAAGCCCTAGGAAAACATGTGAGCGATTTAGGATGAACATCTACTCATGCAGGAAAAATGAGAATCTGGTGCCTTCATATAAAATAAGAGCAGCCACATACCAATACAAAGGAGATAACCTATTATGCTATCAGATGATTTTGCAAAACTTCATAACCCTGCAGAACCCCATGGTCCAAGAGCACCTGAATGATTTCACTGTTACTTTCAGGCCAAATGTATGCCTGAGGTCTGCCCTCATTTGGTCTAGGATGCTGGTAAGAGGATGATAATCAAAAAAAAATGCTTCTTAGATATTTATAAGGACCAAACAATTAGCAAATCTCCAATTCCAAATCCCACAAGACAAAATGCAGGGTGGATGGGAAAATCATATAAACATATATCAGATAATAACCTCATGAGATAAAATGACTGAGATTACAAGAGGAATCAGCGTACCTAAGAGTAACAAAACAGCAGATGTAACAAATGTTATCCCCTGTAAGATCAGTATATAAGACTGGAAGGGATCTGCTAGATCAGTCTAGTTCCCCATAAATGCAGGCAAATGCAGAGCAGAGCTTTAATCCAGGAAGGACGTGGTATCTGCTCTATGTGCCCTCGCACGCCCCAAGTTCACATCATCCTTTGCTGCTCTCCATCAGTTTAAGGCCTGCAATATTATCTAAAAAGAAATAGGGATAACACGTGGTGATATCTAGGGCATCACCAGTGTATGAGTCTCCTGTAAGGGCAAGGCTAAAATTTAGTGGGTATAAATTTGTAGGGCATCCATAGAAGCAGAGCATGCTGTGGAGAAAGCCCTTTACTAATTATCTAGGTATAAATTCCTTCCTGAGCCTCACAAAATACTACTCTGGTAGATCTCAAACCCATTCCTTTTTTTAAATTATTTTTATCTATTTATTTATTTATTATTTTACTGTCAGCATGAAAACCTTTTAAAATGTATTTGCACAAATTGTTAAGAATTCCCATTTATTTCTAGGAACTACACATACCATTTAAGCTTCATCACAGACACTTGCAATAAATAACGTTTACATGACGTATATCAGAAATTTTTACTCTCGTCTCTTCAGACAAACTGAAAAAAAGCATTCATTAATATACCATACTCAGAGTCTCCACATGACAAGTTATAACAGTAGAGTTACTCTGGCTGAGGTTCACACTAAACTACAATGGAAAAAAAAAAAAATCTTTCCTATCAACAGGCTTTTGTCTGAAAGCTCTAGATTTGGGTATTGTATAGACAGACAACAGCAAGGTTGGGAAAATCACTGCTCAGTCATAAATACTTTTGCTGGAACAGGAGAGGTAGTAGAGAGCATGACTGCTTTTTCTGGTGGCTGTTTTGATTTAATATGTGGCTGAATTATAGCATCAAGTACCAGTAATCTGATGTCTTTCACACTTCCAGCTCAAAACCAGTTTTAGAAAGATATGAACAAATCATAGAGAAATATTCTCATTGACTTCTTACCCACAAGTTCTACAGCATGAATAGTACATACAGGGATGCAGACTAAAAATATGAAATACGTATTCCAAAATCTACTGCAAAATTTAACACGTGTTCCCTAAAAGAAGATAATATGATTGACTGAGCAGCCTGTGCAAGAATGCTTACCCTTGCTTTTGAGAGACGTATATCTTCAAGAAACTTCTGAAATCAAGAAGTTTTGATGGCTGTCAAAGGAAAAATAATAAATTAGTCAGGATAGGTGCCAACATTTGCTAACAAGCACACACAAATCTGTCAATTGTCTCAACTTCTTTGGTCTTTTTTAGTAAATTATCCCTTAAGCATCATTTGTAAACTTTTCTGACAAGTAGTACAGAACCTCTCTTCTCCTCTTCAATTTCTTACACACAACTGTTGTTAACTTACCGTTCACAGGGATCTTTCCATAACACAAAACCTACAAAGAAAGAAACACATCTTGTCAGCAAGTTCAAAATTCACTTATATGATCCCAAATGCTTCTGTAAACATGCGGACTTGTTAATTATTCTACTAAAATACAGAAGCAAATCTGCATTACAGTAGGAGCGTGAAAATGATTGCCCCATGTGGAGGCAGCTGCCTGAGGCCAGGAATTGGGGTCCTTCCCGGAGGCTTGCAGATGCCCTGGTCTGAGGTATTTCTGCCTACCCGGGGAGCTGGGACTTGAGGCTTTAGCCTTCAGCCTTCAAGTGTCATTTTGGTTCTTCTTTAGGCTGTTTTATTTTAAATCATGCTCTCCTCCACACACACAACCATTTGGCATATTCAGTTTTTTATTATGATAAGGATTAGATGTTTTGAAAAGTGAAATTTTCTGGGAAACGTGCAAATCCCTGTTTCCACAAGTAATTTAGCACATGCCACCACCTGCCTCTCGAAGGCTGGAAAGGGCTAATGCTCGGTTATGCTTTCACTGCAGCTGATAAAGCTTTAAGTTGTATGAAACCAGGTTAGTAGTAAGGTTACTTTTTTTAGGTTATGAGATAAGCAGGACAGTTCTGAATCCTGCAGAAAACTCAGTACTTTGCTTAACTTCAAACACAAAGCCCAGATGTCACTGAAATCACCTGGGGCTACAATACTTCAAGTTAAGCTGTGTTTACATACTGTACTAGATTGATATGTTTAGCATCTTGAGGGTCAAGCCTTCTTTAAAAAAAGATTCTTATTTTCTCTTTATAGATTAAGGAAGAAAGTTCAGTTGCGCATCCTTCTCCTCCTCAAAAAGTTGCACTATATCAATTGCATGCTATCTCAGAGACATTTGAAGAAAAAACAGTATGAGGAAAATATTAAAACATAAAATGAAAATGAATATAAATAATGATATCCTTACATAAAAACACATGCATAAAGAAAGAAGAAAAATCTGTATCTTTAACTTCGGAATAAACTCCAAGTAGGTTAATTTTCATCTTTCAAATTTCAAGAATTATATTGCTAGAAAATTATATCTAATAAAATGTATAACCCAAACTAATTAATATCTTTACTCATAAATTCGCACATAACCCATTCAGCAATCAAAGTAAGTGCTGTAAGTACAGGGTGAATAGTCTTTCTGTAATTCATATCTGACAAAGAGGTTTAAAATATTTTAAGCAAAAACCTCAACACAATTTTAACTAAGGAACTACTATGCAGCTTACATTAGAAATATGTGAAGCAATGTGTTTTCATAGGAATATTCTAATTATTAGATTATAATGTTTTGTGATATGTTTATTTGCAAAAGAAAAAACAAAATGCAGAGGGGAGAGCCCACATCCAAGCAAAAATGCATATTTAACAGAAGAATCTTTTATCTTGAAGTTAGAACTCAGTCAAACACTATACTACATTTTTCAAGAGCCTACTATTTTTTAATGAAATATGAAAATCTGCAAATAGACAATTAGCAGACTTGGGACTATTCAGTTCTATATAGTACCAGAGAACGTGAGTATTCATTGTTGACGTTATTGTATCAACCCCATATCAAGGGAAGCTGAAATGAAGCATGTCTTGGACTGCTCAGATTAAAGATTTTTTTCCCTAATTTTACACTCGAAGCCCTGTTTGAAATGGAGCCCGAGAAAGGAGATATCTTTGTATAATCTTCACTGAAGAAATATCCACAGCAGAGACAAAATTGTTATTGAACTCTTTCCTAGTAAACTATACAGAGAGGCAGAGATCTAAAGGAAAACATAGATCAAATGACTTAGAAATGGAAAATAACTACAGAAAAGCCAAAAATCAAAAGACACTACAAAATTAGGTGAACACAGAAATATAATTAAAATATACTAGGAATATATGCTTTATGAATAAAATAAAGATCTAGAGTTTCCAATATTAAAGTTTTCAACCTTTAGTTATTCATCTTTAATAAAATTCAGGTTACACAGTGCTCGCTTAGGTCATTCATCCTCCCCCAACATCACGTTCTAGATATTATACGGATTAAAATGCTATCACTCCAGGTATAGCAAAAACGTTCTCAAGTTTTCTTTATTTTGAAGTACAATACTAAAAGGTGGATTCCTTTCTGATCTTATTTTATCAGCCATGCTGTCACCGGAGCTGTTTGGGGCTAAGGACAGTTTTCCTAATTTGGCTTGAAGGTCTTGATCTCCCCCAAAGACTGCAGACTCCTCAAGTCCTCCTCTAAATGGCCCAGCAGTGGTGAATTATGGGAATTTCCCCAAATGAGCTCAGAGCCCCTCTCTGTCAGACCTTTGCTCCCCCAGAGAGCCAACTTGCTGCAGCTGTAGTGAGTGGTAGGGCCCGCAGCCAGCTATTACTCCCACTAATGACATTTTTAGAGGGTGAAGATCTCATTGAATCCATTGACGTTGACCCATGGGGCTACATTTTCTCCGTGCTGCTCAGTGAATTAGGCATGCAACTGCTATTAACAAAAGCAGAAGACCAGTATATCCAGTTCCCAGCTCACCAGACTGCTAACGCACCCCATAATTTGAAGGAATTGTCTCTTAAAGGCTATACTGCGATAGAGAAATCACTCATGATGAAACAATGTTTAAATGGTGGAAAAATGGCTTGGTTCTAATGTTAAATGAATTTCTCTGAGGCAGACTTTCAAGTAAGTACTATAGGATGAACAACTCATGCTTTAGAATACCTTATTTAAAACAACAGCGTAGGTTTTAGGTACTGACTCACACGATGAGGCCCATTTCTGTGAAGCATCTGTCCCAATTCATTTTGTCTGGAATGTGCTGCCCTGCTTAATCAAAGCAAAACCCAAGACATCTACGTTTACTTTTCTTAGTGAATATAATGATTATGAGTGGAATTTTTATGTTACTTTTTGCAAGAAGACGTAAGTAGCCATAAAAATACAAGTGACCTACCACCAATGCCATTATTTTAATTGACATCTGTGAGCATGTTTTTTTAGGTTGCATCAAGAAAGACGAGGGCCTTTTGTGCCCTTCTGACAGTGATGGCAATCATTAAAGATTTACCAGGGTCATTAAAGTGAGAAATAGCAGTAATGCAGAGCTGAATATCACCGTCCCATGTGGATTCAGCTGAAGTGCAAAGAAAGCCAGTACAGAATTAGCTGAGATCCTACTCTGCCACCTTAACCTCATTGTAAAAGAACAGAGAGAAAAAAACCCCCACCAACTTGTATAAAACACATTAGAGTAGCATATTTCACTTACGTGATAGGTGTTGCCAGTAAAGGACATAATACTTCTTTCCACATTAAAGGCACTATTGTGCTTTCACGTGGTACAGCCGCGATGAGCGCTGGCAGGGGAATTTTGGGTGACTGCATTAGTGCCAGTCCACGAGATGTTTCCGCTGCGACGTTGCAGTAAACGCACCACGAGGCCGCTCGCAGGCATCCCCCAGCACGGCGTGCGTGGGGCTGAGCCCCCGGCTGCCTGCCACAGGGGGTCCGCTGAGCCTGGCACACACAGGGAGACCGTCACGTGGAGCAGCTGGGGAGAAGACCCTCGCGCTCCCCCCCTCAGGGCCACCTGCATCACCATAACCGACTTAAATTACACGAGGCCACCGCCCGAGTAATTGGTGTTTCGTGCCCCCTCAGTGTACCTAGTGGAGGGATCAGCACAGTCCCGGTGGCATCCCGTTTTTAAAAGAAAAGAGCAACCACTAGGACTCTGTAGGTTGTTACCTGACCAAACACGGTGCCTCTTCCCACAGCGTTTGTCTTATGATTAATACTGAGAGAGAAGAGCATCAGGTTTTTGCTTTGCTATTGGGTCTGAACTTTAAAAGCAACGTCCCACCGTACCTTTAAATACAGTCCTCATACAGGCACTGTAACTAGTTTTGGCAAAGACAGAAAGATGCTAAAACACAAAGAAACAAGCAGCTGCAGGTATAATATAATTTAACGCGTTTAACTACGAGCCTGAAGACTGCACAGACGCACACCTTGCCAGGACAGCCATATGCAAATTCCTCTAAGGTACGAAATGAAACTAGTTTTTAAACCATTATCACACGTGCGTTCAATTATTATAATACTTTGTGAACTGACACCACAAAAATCCTAGGAGAAAAGGTACAGGGGGTTTCTAACCTTGCTTTGATTATCCTGTTCATTATATCAAATGGAACAGGAAAGCGATCTCCTGCGGGAATCAGTCACTGCTCTTGTTTTAATCCACCTCCTTTGATTTCCTGAGCAGCTCAGATTAAAGATAGACCTTCTCTTCTGTCGGATGTCGCGTCGCGCTGCGGCGCTGTGAGAAGGAGCGAGCGGCACAAAGGCCTTTGTCTGCTGCGGCTGCTTTAGCCGACATACCAATGGGCCGGTTACAGTGCCAAGCTGTTTGGCGACGGCTGAACTAAAAAACGCTTCCTGTCAATCAGCTGAAAAATGAAATAACCGACAGTAGGGAAAATTGGAAATTAATGGTAAGTTAAAAAGAAACACTGAAAATTGCTTTGCTCTTCTATGCGCAGACACGTGCATGCTAGCACATAGATACATGCATACCTTTATAAGAAAGGGTTAATAATAAGACACGGTGGTTGTGGACATTAAATTTTAAGTGATTGCATATCAGTATTCTCTCTACTGCATTATGGATGTTTGTTTTGTTGAAGCTATGGGATGCTGATTCTAAAGCCCTTTTCAAGATAACTTTTGCTAGTCTTGGACTTCTGTCAAAAAACGATACTTCATGCACCTGTGACACACTTAATATATCCGTACTTCAGAGTCAGACATCATCACATGATGCATGACAGGTGAACATGTTTTAAACATATGTTTCACATGGCACAATCAATCACAATACAACTAGTAGGAGCAGCAGTTGGTACACAGCGACAATGCAACTCCAAGCTTGTGCTGTAGCGAGATAATGCATTTCCCGGGTCATTGGAGGCACTAATTTCAACTTCTGCCTCATGATACTTCCAAGGAGTGTGTTATCTTCGGGTAACACATGTCTGCTTGTACCTGACTGTTTAATTATTGTACACAAAATTCCACATCAGAATAATTGTCATCTCAAGGTACCCCTGCGTGCTGCAGGGTCCTTCTGACTCCTGATGTAAATGAACAAGTGTAAGTTGTGCAGCAAGTAAAATGACCTTGGTAGAGATTTGTCCCCCAAACTGATGGGATTTCACAGCTTCAAAGTGCAGCCAGGAGAGGAATACTATGCAAATGTTGTCATTCCACTTTCAGTTCAAATATCCACAGCAGATTGTGATTTGTTTTTTATGCAGGAATCATCTATGCAAAAGGTCACTTGTGGGAATACACGAACCAGAATCTCCCAGCAGACTTTCCCTAGGCCATTGCTTAGCGGTAGCGGATGCCTTAGTCTTTCTTAGTGATAGCCTTCCACTTCCCATAAACAAACAAATAAATAAATACTCTCTGGAGCAAGGCTTTGAATCTAGCTTTTTTTACATACCAGATGAATGGGATACAGAGTCAGCCCCTGATACAATGAATTAGCTATATGAATTGGAGGAGCTCCAGCAGAAGGAGTAGGAAGGCCCCACATAACAAGAGACTGGAGCGCTGCATGATGGGTACTCCGCTTGAGGTGCGGGAGAGCCAATCCCGAGTCTCCAGTATGACCAGCAAGGACGTGAGTTTGCACCTGGATCTTGCCCTCTCTGAGGCTTGAACATCTGAAATAACTAAGCATCTGTGGTGAAGGCCTCTTTATACACAATTAACCAGTTTTACTTTTGTTCTGCGAGAAACCTCATCTCAGAGCTGAGAGGCATCTCATACACCTCAGCCTCCAACCCAAAATTGTTCCTAGGACCAATGGGTGTTTTGATCAGTTGCCAAAAGACTGATCCCTGATATACCCACAGTCCTCCAAGTACCGGTAAAAAATTCTCAACAAGGTCTAGTTTTCGTTGCTATTTTTTAAACACTCAAATATTGTGACCCCAGGAAATATTTAAGTATCGAGGCACATTTATTTACTACAAATGAAGAACTTTGGGGGAAATGAAATGTTTCTTACAGTCTTAGTGATGTTCTGGACTACGGCTGTGCTGTCAGCTGTATTTTGACCCCTAGAGCGATTGATCTTAAGCTTCTAATTGGGATGACAATCCATCACCCAAATTGCTTGATATTCAGGTGGGCAATTTGTCATCTGCACTACTCGATATCATGTACATAGCATACCAGACAATATCTTACCATGAATCACTAACAAGAAGATATGGAATCATACAAAAAAATAGTCCTAAAGGCTCTATAAAAGTGATTTAGTGCAGCCCCCTACCCTACAGCAGAATCTTTATTACCTAACGCAATCCTGACAGATGTGTGTCCAGCCCTTTCTTATATGCAATCAAAATTGCCTTAGCATAAATGCCACGGTCAAGGTCTGGGATATTCTAGCTATTCTGACTAGTAAAAAGAATAAAAGGTTAAGAAACAAATAAGAGATACAAATGAGTTCTTAAAAAGCAATAGTCGCGTCTTCTTATCTTCTAGAGGCTTGTGGCACATCAGCCCTCCTAATAGGATATTTATGAGTATATGTAACTTGGATTCTGATTTTGTTACTACTTGGACAGTATCTCTCAAGACATCTGAAGCAACTGAGATTTCTCTAAAGATTGTTTTTCTATCTAATCAATCCCACTTTACTGTTAATATTTAAACATATAACTGGAAGTTATTATGAAGGTATGCAGTTCTACAAACTGTTGTTTATTTTGGGCTCTGTCTACATTGGCAAGTTTTTCAGTATAAAAGGAAAGGAGCATTCACGGAAGCAAATGGTTCTGAGGTCCATACAACTGCACCACAGCAGCCTGGGGGATTTGCTAAGGCCTACAGTTAGTTTGAGCACCTGAACTGAACATCCCCAGCAGGTTCATGGATCAGAGCTGGCAAGAAGAGATCACCTTAGACCCACATGTTCTCCTCTCCAGCGCACACCCAAGGCAGTTTGTTTTCCTCTTGAAAGGAGTACAGCTCATACGCATCAACCGTGCTCTGTGAACCATCACGTGGTTAAGTGGGGACAATCAAGGGAATAGCTATGTCCTCCAGTCCATGCTAAAACTGCACTGCTCCTCCAAGCCCATAAGCTAACGTGCCTCACCCCTGGACTGCCACTGGCACTCTCACCCACGCTCTGGGTAACAGGTAGAAAAACGCTGGCAGTATCAAGCACCATCGTGAATGCTATCAGTGCTTGTTCACTGTTTGGTGACAAACTTCTTCAGGAATTACCTACTGGAGAAATTGTCCACTTGCAGGGGAGCAAGAAGCTGTTTATAGGAACTCTCACAGACGTTAAAAGAAAGAAAAGCATACTTTCTATCTTTTGAATAGATATTTTTGAGCCCTGACAGGTGTTGTCACGGCTTTTACCCACCTATGATTTTTCAGCGTCCTTTTCCATTGTGCTCCTTCTCAGCTGCAAGAAAGGAGAGAAATATGAGCTCTTTCATGGAGGATACAGATTTATTTTACTCCTGATGAGAAATTAAGGATGCTCTGACCAACAGCATGTGGTTTCTATTTCTGTTTGTAGCTAGCCTTACAATAGTAGGTCAAAAGGATTAGAGGAAGGTCAGTGTTACTGTTTCTTGAGGAAAGCAGCAATTGTGGATTCACAATGTTCTTGCTTTCTGAAGAAAGTGGATATTTTATATGACAGGGTGTTTCAAATACCTGGGGTTTTTTTTGTTTTTTTGTTTTTTTTTAAAGAAACTGAAAAAAAGGATATACTGGTATGTTTATTTACCTTTCATCTTTTTTCATTTTTCTTCATTACATAGTAAACATTATACAGAGAAAAAAGGCTAATGTGTTGTCTGACATAGGCCCTAAAACATGCTTTTTCTTAAAACTATGAAGGAAAGAAACAGCAATAGCAGTACAACCCATACATTATTTAAAACAAAAACACATGGAAGAGCTATAATATCTCTGAGCAACATGACAGTCAAATAAAAGGGCAACAAGTTCTCTGGAGCCCAATCTTTTCATTTTCTATTCTCTGATTTGTCTGATCTGATCTTTCTATCCACTAGCATTTCAGGGAAAAACTGCTCAATTCATGTAGTTTAAATCTTATCAGGATCCAAACAGTCTATCGATTTATTAGCAGCATGCAAATAACTGGCGATCAGTGACCTATACACTCAGAATCAATATCAGCAGTACAACAAATAAGCTGCAAACCTGGGTGCTTACTCAATGTTAGTATGCTTCTGCAAATTTCTCTACAAAGGGTCATCTTCCTCTTTAGCACGATGGGGTTTTGCTATCGAATGCACTCACAGGTCATGCTCACACACCTATGCGTTACTTGGCTGCTATCTAGGCCATTTTGACACAGGTGAGCTGTGCCTGCCCACGCAGCTCGCCATGCAGTGCATCCCACTGCTGAGAGCATGTCGGGGTGCAGAAACTGCATCCTGTATACAGTGCATGCAAAGCATATGGAGCGCCGTGGAATATTTTTTGGATTGCACACAATAAGCCTCACTCTATTAGGACCTATTTCTACTTCCAGAAAAAGGACTGCAATGCTCCAGTTGCTTTTAATGGTTGAAGAATCACGTTCCCTTGAGTGAGAAGATAAGCTGAGAGGATTTTTAATTAAAACTCACTCTTCCTCATCTTTATCCCAGAAGTCTGTTTCATGTCGAAAGAACAAAAGCCAATCTTCCTGTCTCTCCCTGGCACTGCAGGTATGTCTTGCAGGCTGTTTGCTCACTCTCATAAGAAAACTAGATTGCACATAAGTGTTGTAAAAGGGAACTCGCACACGAATGAGCACATCCTGAACTCAGCTGTGGGGACACATTTGCAGTAAAGTAAGCTGCAGAACAACTATATTGCTCTGCTGCTTGTAGCAGGATTTCCTTAGACAATGCATGCCCCACACTGGATATTGGTGTAGCCAAAAGCTCTATCCCCAGCCCACTAAAAGGATGGCTGTTTTCACAGCCCCGCTCGTGAATACAGCCCCTCTCTTACAGCACATCTCCAAGGTTTACAAGACATGTCCTGTAGTTCTTAAGGATTTTACTCTGGAAGAGCAGATTTGCAGAAAGGAAGGATGAATACCAAAGGGGAAGCCAAGAGGAAAATGCATGTAGAAATGAAGTCTTAGGCATTATAATTACCTAGCATGGGTACATCAGGACGATGCGAACACCTAAGGAATAAGTAAATAAAAAAAGACCAAATCCCACTCTTTTTGCATACCTTGGGCAACGATTCATCAGGATGAGGAGGTGCTGCAGCCCTGGCGGCTGCTTGCCTGCCCCTTCCAAGGGCCTTTGGTCTACCTGGCCTGTGGGCAACCCAATGGCCACGTGCTGCCGCCAGGTAAAGCCCTAGCCAAGTTGCATCCACGTTGCAGCAGCCAAGCCACTAAAATTGTACCGGGGTAAGCCAGGGACTCCACTAAAAATTACCCAAGGCACGAATTTTACCCCCAAAGGCTAGGTATCTGATTAATCAAAACCAAATCAAAATTGCTTCCAACTAAAACCTTGCCAGGAGAAGCCATGCGAAACCAGTGCTGATAAACACGCATAGTCATGTATCTACCACAAAGCTGTGCTTCTAAAGGCAGGCTGTAAAGTATCTGTGTGTTCTCCTAACAATTTTACAGGAAGCTTTTTTTTCTTTTTAAAAAAACTTTTTATGTATCCCATGAATGCATTTTACTTACAGCTGTATCAACAAAAACAAACAGAAAATGGACAAAAATCTCGAGAAAAATATAGAAATTCACTTATCATTGCCTCTAATGGCAGCCTTTATTTCCTCTATTTGGTGCATAAATAACCTCATTATGTAATTTTCTGATATGGAAGTAACTGAAGAAGCTGAACATGCAGCCCAAAAGAAACTGAAGGGCACAAGCTGAAGCCTAGACAAAGTGGGTTTGTGCAATTAAGTAACACAGACATAAATATGGTCAACTGAACCTGTTTTGCTTGCCTTTTCCTAGTTTGTGTTTATACTGTGTGATTTTTGAAGGAGAAGAGGGTAGTAATGTACAGGGGAGAGATCATTTTTACTGTTTTTCTTCCTCTTTCATTTTTATCACGTTTAGTTTAGATGAGGGGAGGAGTATTTGTATTTTTTTTTTTAATCACAATCTTGTTTATGCTATAATTTTTGTAATTTTGTCCTGAACTCATGTGATTACTCATCATATTTTTACTACTTTTATTTGTAGAATTGATATCTTTTGATCCTCTGCTGTTTTCCCATATGTTTAAAAATTTCCAAACTAATTAAGATGATTAACTAAAAAAGACTAATTGCATTCATAAATGCAATGTGTCACTTCTGATTAGCAGGTGGCTCTTTTGTATTTTGGATACGTAAAAGCAGATGGAAATGTGGCAGACTTAGCTATATTTAATCTGCCTGTTTCCTTCCAGGCTGCTCCACTTTCTGGTTAACACTGCTAACGACAATGAAACCTATGAAAGCTTCAGGTTGCTTATTTTTTTTGTCTCTACCATTTCTTATTTGGCAACAGATATCTCACTCGGCACCCTGGCTGTTCCTTCCTAACTGAGAGGCTTTGAACTGTTCTTTCTAAACGTTTTGCAACTCCTACTCACAAGCTTCAAGGTGTCTAGAAGGACAGGAGAAGAAAACACGTTGCAGAACATACTTAAGAAACCTGAATATTCTGTTTCTTATTTCTGTGTCTAATGAAGAGTACAAATATTTTTTAGCATTAATTGTTAAACACTGCCTAAAAACACTCCCTTCTTACTCCTAGATTCTTTTTTCCCATATTTCAAATCCAAAGCAGAGTTACATCACTCCTTTTCCTATATCTGAGGCTTTTTTCCTGAGTAATACCAGTAATGCAATTCTGAATCAGCTGCTTCATTATACCCTATTCTCCCCGTATTTAGTCTTCTTAAATCCTACTTCTTCTAAAGTATACTCTCCTATTTCACTATTTTCCCGTCACTTAACCTTTCTGGGGTTACCACTTTTGATACAGTATCTGCTGCTCATTCCCTTCTCCAAATTTTGGCTGTTCCTCATGTAAGCAATTTTCTTGCTGACATACCAAATAAAACTTAGCCCACCTTAGTCAATGTCTGTGCATCTGACACATTTGTTTTGTAGTAATATATAATGAGATACCAAGGAGCACATTGTCTTTTCATTTCCATATGTGTAGCACCAGAGAAAAAAAGAAAATAGTCAGATACATCTTACAAGAACAAGCTCAGATATTCATAATGCTAGGAAAACTAGATCATATTTTCCTGTTTGTAGTTTTAAATTGATATTGTCCTCAAATTAAACACAGGACTTTTTTTTTTTGGTTGTTATGAGTGTCTTTTCTTACCATTGTACATGGAGATTGTACATTGTACGCACATATATATGCGTATATAAACTGTGTTATATGTGGTGACCAGAGTGCAATATAAACGATGGAACCCAACATCTGCTACACAATAGTAATGATGTGAACAAGAAGTGAAAATCACCTCAAATAAAATGCCAGGTAAAGGTGCAGATTTCCACCTGCATTCAATAGAGAAAAAGATTACGCTTCCAAACTCTCCATCCTTTGTATCTCAGTTCTTCTCTGTTCACACGTACACGTTAAAAAGGGAGCTGAAATGCAGAGGCGTGTAGCTCTTAATACAGCAGCAATCAGAAAGTGTGCTAAGTCCCAATCACAAATGAAAAGGACTATCCTGGCATTCAAACAGGAAAACTGATAAAGAGATTTTTCTGAATTTCAGGGCTTTCACTGTATCTAGTGTATTATTGTGAATAATAGTTTGCCAGAATTCTTAAAAAAGTCCCAAAAAATAAAAACAAAAAAAAACCCCAAAACCCACGCAGGCAGGTCATTTTGCCTTTAACTCTTGCTTAGGATATTTGTCTTCAGCAAAAAGTTTAGAGGAATAAGGGCTTCAAGATTTTGCACGGAGTTCGTGAGTGCAGCTACGTACAGACACGTATTTGTTGTTCAAAAACCAAAACCTGGAAGACATCTTTGCCAATAAATTTGAGTAAGTGCTATTAGTGCAGATGCTATTGAATACTAGCATCCTGTATCATCCGTTTAAGGAACTGTATGACTAAGGGAATTGGTAACGGGATATAGAGCCTTTCACCTCTAGGTCAATAGTTATAATCTGAACCAGACGGAGAGAACTCAGGAGTCAATGCCATGTAATTCCCATCTACCGACTTAAGTAAAATTAGTCTGTGGCCTCCAGAGAATTTCTATAGAAGAAATACTGTAACCACAAGGTGGGGGGGGGGGGACTGTCACTAGGGTTGTGTATGCCATTGACAAGAGTGGGAGAGCCAAGAACTGAATTGTCTGAAGGGATATTTAGTCCCTCCACAATAAGCAAGTAGAAATGGTTCAGTAAAGAAGTTAAAAGGAAAATAGCC